ACTCTTCTTTGCAGCCAGTTTGCAGCGGGGATTCTAGAGTATCCCGGGAGCAGCACTGGGAAGGCGGGGAGGAGGCTGCTTCTGGGAGCGAGAAGGGGTGGAGCCCAGCCTTTCGGGGTGCTGGGGGGAGTCGTCCCTGAGGTGCTCACTCTGGAGGCCCGCAACTGAAGCCGGGCAGGAGGCGCAGCTGGGGCGCATCCTCAAAGCCTGAATTCCGCGCCCGCCTGTTGCTGGAAAAGGCAGCTTCCTTCGCTGGAGGGGGTGCGCCGGCCCACCCCTTCCCCCTCCCGCCTGGGCATCGCGCCAGGCTGGAGGTGAGCGAGAGCGGGAGGTTCGGCGGCTCCCGCCCGAGCTGGGCGTTGGCATGGGTTGCGGGGCGGTGTGGGTCGCCTCGCGCCTCCCCAAGTGATGGGATCATAGGGGACAGAGATGAGGGATGGAGGATTCCCATACTGGTAGCGCCCGCTGGCTTATTTTGGGGACCACATTCAGGTGGGAAGAGCGCCCGGGCACCTTGGAGCGTTTCTCTGGATCCGCCTGGTAGCCGGGCGCTCTCGGGTCCACGCTGCCCTTGTATGGCCCGCAGCTGTGTCGCGTGTTTCTCTTAGCTCCCGTTCCGCCGTCCCAGCCGCGGTCCGGCTGGGGAAGGGGAGGGCTAGGCAATACCCAGCTCGCTGGCCTCATGCCCAGTGCCAACCATGTCCCTGGGGTATTCCAGGCTACTGCCTCCCAGGCTGACTTTATTTCTGGGGAAAGGGCTAAATCGGGCTCCACAGTTGCAGCCGGTCCAGCTCCACCCTGCCCTGCTCTTCTAGCTCTGGGAGAAGGAGTCAGGGGTCTGAGGCTCCGGGTTGGAGACCCCTCCTTCCACCTGCCCTCCTTGTCCGAGAGCCAAGGCAACAACCCAGGCATCCCAGAGCCCAGGCAGATGGTGTCGAGTGACATCACCTCCTCACAGGGCTGGCAGCACGCTGGCACCACTGACGTCACTCCTGCCCACTGCCTGGCCCTTGCCCTGACCCCTGGAGGAGACTCTGACCTCTCCATCCTTATCAGCTTCCCAGGGTGGGGTCCCGGGTGTGTGCGGAGTGTTTATGGAGGTGCTGCTGAGGGAGCATGAGACGGGAACTTCCGCCAGAGTTAGCCCGCTGGGTCTTGTGGGGTTAGGGCAGGGATTTTGGAGGGCAGAGGGTAGAGTAGTGGTGTCTTCCCCTGGCGGTGGTGACACAAAAGGGCCTGTGTGCCCCAGCCTGGCACATGCCTTGCATTCCCACACTCTGAGCTCACCCGGAGAGGAGGGGGCCTGGAAGGAAAGGGGCCTTCCTCTTGGCCCGGAGCCTGGGTTGCCCCTCTCAGCCCCTCTACCAGCCTCAGCTGGAGCTGCTCGGTGCTCAGTCTCTGCTCAATCTCTGCTCAGCTCCAGGGACCTGGGGTCTCCTGGACGGGGAGAGGGCTGGCCCAGGTGGGGCGCGGGTCGGGGGGTCCAGCGTTCAGAGGACAGGGCCCTCTGCAGACGCTCTGAGTGGCAGGAAAAACAGCTGCAGCAGCGCTGCGAGGGGAGGGGCGGACAGCCGCTGGAGCTGACACAGCTGCGGGGGGCCCCGCCTCCCTCCCCCAGGTGTGCCCGGAGAGGCTGAGCAGCCTGCTCCTGAGCTGGTGGAGGTGGAAGTGGGCAGCACAGCCCTTCTGAAGTGCGGCCTCTCCCAGTCCCAAGGCAACCTCAGCCATGTCGACTGGTTTTCTGTGAGTGCTTGGGCTCCTGCAAAGCGCAGCCCGGGGAGGGAGGCTCTGCCCCTCTTGTAGCCCAGGACCCTCTCCTCCTCTGTATCCCCTCCCATTAGGTCCACAAGGAGAAGCGGATACCCATCTTCCGTGTGCGCCAGGGCCAGGGCCAGAGTGAACCTGGGGAGTACCAGCACCGGCTCAGCCTCCAGGACAGAGGGGCTACTCTGGCCCTGACTCAAGTCACCCCCCACGACGAGCGCATCTTCTTGTGCCAGGGCAAGCGCCCTCGGTCCCAGGAGCACCGCATCCAACTCCGCGTCTACAGTGCGTGACCCCATGTCTGCCAGCTGGGCAGTGAGGGTGGTGGGGCGTGGTCCCATGTCCCCCTCATTTCTATTTTCTTGTAGAAGCTCCAGAGGAGCCAAACATCCAGGTCAACGCCCTGGGCATCCCTGTGGACAGTAAGGAGCCTGAGGAGGTGAGATGTGTGGCAGATGGGCTGGGCAGCTGGTGCGCAGCAGCTGAGATGGGGCTTGCAGAGGGCTGGGAGGCAGGGAGACTTACACCTTGTGCTCCTTAGGTGGCAACCTGTGTAGGGAGGAACGGGTACCCCATTCCTCAAGTCATCTGGTACAAGAATGGCCGGCCTCTGAAGGAGGAGAAGAACCGTGAGTAGCCCTTTCTGCTCCCAAAAGCCACCCTTGGGCCAGGTGTGGTGGCTCACACCTGTAATCTCAGTGCTGTGGGAGGCCAAGGCAGGAGGATCTCTGGAGGCCAAGAGTTCAAGACCACCTTGGACAACATAGGATGACCCCATCTCTACAGAAAATAAAAAAATTAGCCGGACATGGTGGTGTGTGCCTGTGGTCCCAGCTACTTGGGAGGCTGAGGTAGGAGGATCATATGAGCCCAGGAAATGGAGGCTGCAGTGAGCTAGGATTATGCCACCTCACTCCAGCCTGGGTGACAGAGCGAGACCCCATCTCTTAAAAAGAGCTGTGCCTATGGTACTACACAGGAACTTGCCTTATGTTTTCTTTAAGCTTTTTAACTAAAAAAAAAATTATACAAATGGTGCTTGAAAATATTTTCATGAGAATTTAAACTGACAAAAAGTCTAGAAGTTTCTTCTTGCCTGAGACCCCCTCCCAGAAATAATATCTGTTATCAATCAGGGTGTGTTCTTTCAAGCCTATTTCTATGTATTTGCTCATATATAGAAACATTTCTAGAACGATATAGGCTTTTGTTTTTTGTTATCTAAATCAGTCGTTCTTAACCAGGGGTGATTTTGTACCCCCTCCTCCTAGGAGATATTTGGCAATGTCTGGAGATATTTTTAGTTGTCACACTTAGAGGGGGTGCTACTGCCATCTAGTAGGTAGAGAGGCCAAGGATGTCGCTAACATCCTACAGTGCACAGGACAGCCCCTACAATAAAGAATCAATGTGGCCTAAAACATCAGTAGTGCTGGCTGGGCTCACGCCTATAACCCCAGCACTTTGGGAGGCCGAGATGGGCGGATCACCTGAGGTCAGGAGTTCAAGACCAGCCTGACCAACATGGAGAAACCCCATCTCTACTGAAAATACAAAATTAGCGGGGCGTGGTGGCGCATGCCTGTAATCCCAGCTACTCAGGAGGCTGAGGCAGGAGAATCACTTGAACTCAGGAGGTAGGTGGAGGTTGCGGTGAGCCGAGATTGCACCATTGCACTCCAGCCTGGGCAACAAGAGCGAAACTCCCTCTCAAAACAAAAAAGAAAAAAAAAATTATCAGTAGTGCTGAGAAAGCCTGATCTAAGTGGTGTTGTATGGTATACATTGTTAGACAATTTCTTTTGTACGATCTTTCTGGGTCAGTCTATTTAGATCAGCTGATGGTTTTGCTTATTGCCGAGTTTTCCATACTATGCATATCATGTAGTCGAGTTCACCATTCCCCAGTTAGTGGACATCTAGACAGCTGCTTGTTTTTATCATTGCAGCATTCTTTGCACACATCCTTGGATATGAGCATGAGCAGACCTGTAAATGTTTTTCTAGGGTTGACCCTGAGCAGTAAAAGTGCTGGGTTGAAGGGTTTCCAGCTTGCATTTGTACCTGGCCCTCTACAGGGGACACGGGACTCTTTAGATGGACACCTACGAACCCCGGTGGACAACCCTAGGGTGGGGTTGGAGGTGGGACTGAGGCTGAGTCTTCCTCCCCTTCCTCCCTGCCCAGGGGTCCACATTCAGTCGTCCCAGACTGTGGAGTCGAGTGGTTTGTACACCTTGCAGAGTATTCTGAAGGCTCAGCTGGTTAAAGAAGACAAAGATGCCCAGTTTTACTGTGAGCTCAACTATCGGCTGCCCAGTGGGAACCACATGAAGGAGTCCAGGGAAGTGACTGTCCCTGTTTTCTGTGAGTGCTAACTTGACTCTCTGCTCACTGGGGCTGGGGCTGCTGGAAACTCCTGCTAGCCCCTCCCTATCCAGCCCAGGGTTGACTCATGGGCCAAGGGCTACCCCCTTTGCCTTTGCAGACCCGACAGAAAAAGTGTGGTTGGAAGTGGAGCCCGTGGGAATGCTGAAGGAAGGGGACCGCGTGGAAATCAGGTGTTTGGCCGATGGCAACCCTCCACCGCACTTCAGCATCAGCAAGCAGGTGTGGGGGCTTTGTGCTGGGCGCAGATGGGGATGCAAGCAGAGACCCGGGTGGAGTGGTGGGAGATGCACTCTGCTCACCTCCCCAGTCTTCCCCAGAACCCCAGCACCAGGGAGGCAGAAGAAGAGACAACCAATGACAACGGGGTCCTGGTGCTAGAGCCTGCCCAGAAGGAACACAGTGGGCTCTATGAATGTCAGGGCCTGGACTTGGACACCATGATATCGCTGCCGAGTGAACCACAGGAACTACTGGTGAACTGTGAGGAGCTGGGGACCCAGGACAGGGGGAGCAGACTGGGGCAATAGGGAACTGGCCCTGCCCTGCCCTGGGTGACATGATTGCTGTACCCCCAGATGTGTCTGACGTCCGAGTGAGTCCCGCAGCCCCTGAGAGACAGGAAGGCAGCAGCCTCACCCTGATTTGTGAGGCAGAGAGCAGCCAGGACCTCGAGTTCCAGTGGCTGAGAGAAGAGGTACCAGGCGGGTCTGGGGAGCAAGGGGCTGATGGGTGAGTGGGGCTGGGGGTGACAAGAGTGTGCTCTTCCCCAGACCCTCTGACCCATCTCTCATCCCAGACAGGCCAGGTGCTGGAAAGGGGGCCTGTGCTCCAGTTGCATGACCTGAAACGGGAGGCAGGAGGCGGCTACCGCTGTGTGGCCTCTGTGCCCAGCATACCCGGCCTGAACCGCACACAGCTGGTCAATGTGGCCGTTTTTGGTGAGGCCCTCCCTCTGGGTAGAGACCAGGTCACCCCAAGTGGGGTGGTTTTTAAGCTCTTGACAAAAAGCCACCTGCTGCTCTGGGGAGCTCTGGTGAGGAGGAGGGGGCGGGCTAGCTGGGCTTGCCGCCTCACCCCTCCCTACCTCCCCAAGGTCCCCCTTGGATGGCATTCAAGGAGAGGAAGGTGTGGGTGAAAGAGAATATGATGTTGAATCTGTCTTGTGAAGCGTCAGGGCACCCCCGGCCCACCATCTCCTGGAACGTCAACGGCACGGTGAGCAGGTGTCTCATCTGCCACCCTCTCCCAATCCCCGCCTGGGCTTTGCGGCCGGGACCAGAGATCCTCCCCGTCCCCTGAGCTGCCTCCTTCCTTTCCTTGCAGGCAAGTGAACAAGACCAAGATCCACAGCGAGTCCTGAGCACCCTGAATGTCCTCGTGACCCCAGAGCTGTTGGAGACAGGTGTTGAATGCACGGCCTCCAACGACCTGGGCAAAAACACCAGCGTCCTCTTCCTGGAGCTGGGTGAGGGCTGCATCCCTGCAGGGGATGGCAGGGGCAGGCCCAGGCACGGGCAGTAACTTGCGCTTCTCCTAACACCCCTCCCTCTGCCTCCTAGTCAATTTAACCACCCTCACACCAGACTCCAACACAACCACTGGCCTCAGCACTTCCACTGCCAGTCCTCATACCAGAGCCAACAGCACCTCCACAGGTAAGCCAGGCCTGGCAAGAGAACAGGGCTGTGCCAGGGCATCCTTTCTGCCCCGTCCCTCCCCAGAGAGCCCTGTCCAGAAAGGTGAGTAGCAGCCCCATCTTGTCGGCCTTGGACTGGCTGGGGCAGCAATGGCGACAAGGTGGCCTGGAGCAGGGAGTGACGAGGAGTGTCTTTGTGGCGCAGAGAGAAAGCTGCCAGAGCCGGAGAGCCAGGGCGTGGTCATCGTGGCTGTGATTGTGTGCATCCTGGTCCTGGCAGTGCTGGGTGCTGTCCTCTATTTCCTCTATAAGAAGGGCAAGCTGCCGTGCGGGCGCTCAGGCAAGCAGGAGATGTAAGCCCAACACTGGCCCCTCCACCCCCGCCCATCTTGCCGCCCAGCCTGCCGCCTGCCCAGCGCCCGCCTGCCCCTCGAGAGCAGAAGTGGGGCCCTGGGCCAGGGTGCTCCCTGCTCCACTGCCCACTGCCCAGCTTCCATCAGCCACATGGTCTCATGACCTGCTTCCCTGCCCTGGGCTGGCCCTGGAGCAAGGAGCCCTCAACCATCCCACATCCTTCACAGTGGGCCCTTCCCTTCCTGCGGCCCTGAGGTGCCAACCTCTCGCCTCCCTCCCTCCTCCCAGCACGCTGCCCCCGTCTCGTAAGAGTGAATTTGTAGTTGAAGTTAAGTCAGATAAGCTCCCAGAAGAGATGGGCCTCCTGCAGGGCAGCAGCGGTGACAAGAGGGCTCCAGGAGACCAGGTAGGAGGCGGTTCCTGTGGCCAGAGCCTGCCACATCCTCAGGGACCGGGGGCAGCAGGGGCTAACGGTTCTAACTCTCTATCCTTCACCCCTCTTTGTCGGAGATAGGGAGCAGGCCCCATCTTGCCTTCTTAACACCACTCACAGATGGCAGGGCCAGGCAAGTGGCTGAGGGAGCTCGGAGGAAGACTGAGAAAAACCCTGTCCCATCATCTTTTCCTGACCAATGCCCATGACTCTGGGTGTGGCCATTTCACCAGTGCAGTCAAACGGGGACCACCCTCCTTCCCTGGCCTGCCATGCCCATCCTCGCTTCCTCCCCAAGGCTGCCGCACCAAGTTCATCGGCTTCTGCTTCCATCTCTCCTTCCTCTCGGTGCTCACACCTTCAACTCTGAGCACCGTCTCCGTGTTTCTCTCTTCTCCTCTTCCCACTTTTAGGGAGAGAAATACATCGATCTGAGGCATTAGCCCCGAATCACTTCAGTTCCCTTCCCTGCTTGGACCATTCCCAGCTCCCTGCTCACTCTTCTCTCAACCAAAGCCTCCAAAGGGACTAGAGAGAAGCCTCCTGCTCCACTTGCCTGCACACCCCCTTTCAGAGGGCCACTGGGTTAGGACCAGAGCTGTCCTGAGAACCTCACTTGGCCCTAGAAGGCCCGCTTTTCAGGGACCAGTCTGCCACCATCTCCACATTGAGTGAAGCTCATCCCAAGCAAGGAGCCCCCGCCTCCTGAGCGGGTAGGAGAGTTTCTTGCAGAACGTGTTTTTTCTTTACACACATTATGGCTGTAAATACCTGGCTCCTGCCAGCAGCTGAGCTGGGTAGCCTCGCTGAGCTGGTTTCCTGCCCCAAAGGATGGCTTCCATCATCCAAGTGCACCACTGAAGTGAGGACGCACTGGAGCCAGGCACCTGCTCATGTTTAAGTGCGCTGTTCACACCAGCTCTGGAGAGCACCCCAGCAGCATCCAGAAGCAGCTGCAGTGTTGCCGCCACCACCTTCCTGTCTGCCTCTTCCAAGTCTCCTGTGACATTTTTTTCTTTGGGCAGAAGCCAGGAACTGGTGTCATTCCTTAAAAGATACGTGCCGGGGCCGAGCGCGGTGGCTCACACCTGTAATCCCAGCACTTTGGGAGGCCAAGGCAGGTGGATCACAAGGTCAGGAGATTGAGACCATCCTGGCTAACACGGTGAAACCCCATCTCTACTAAAAATACAAAAAAAATTAGCCGGGCATAGTGGTCGGCGCCTGTAATCCCAGCTACTCGGGAGGCTGAGGCAGGAGAATGGCGTGAACTCAGGAGGCGGAGCTTGCAGTGAGCTGAGATCGTGTCATTGCACCCCAGCCTGGGCGACAGAGTGAGACTCCGTCTCCAAAAAAAAAAAAAAAAAAAGATACGTGCCTGCAGTGAGGAAGCTGGGCACTGTTTTTGAGTTCAAGTGAATTAGCCTCAACCGCCCGTGTTCACTTGGCTCCCACGGCTGTCTTGATGGATCACGTGAGTGAAAGGCAGGGGAAGCGGACAAAGATGAGGTCTACACTGTCTTTCACGGGGATTAAAGCTATGGTTATATTAGCACCAAACTTCTACAAGCCAAGCTCAGGAGCCCCAACCTAGAAGGGCCCAAATGAGAGAATGGTACTTAGGGATGAAAAACAGGGGCCTGGCTAGAGCTTTGGGTGTGTGTCTGTGTGTATGCATACATATGTGTGTATATATGGTTTTGTCAGGTGTGTAAGTTTGCAAACTGTTTCCTTTATATATGTATATATATGAAAAATAAAGCTTAATTGTCCCAGAAGTCTTACATTGCTTTTTATTCATCATGGGTACCACAGGAACCTGGGGGCCTCTGAAACTACAACCAAAAGGCACACAAAACCGTTTCCAGTTGGCAGCAGAGATCAGGGGTTACCTCTGCTTCTGAGCAAATGGCTCAAGTTCTACCACACAGCGGACAGTCAGTCACTCTACTTTTCAGCAGCCAAACTGCCCTGATGACGCAGCATGAAGGGCCTGGCAGGCTGTTAGCAGGAGCTGTGTCCCCTTCCTATGCTTTCCTGCCATTTGGAACTGAAGCAGCTCAGGCTCACCGCCATGAGGAAGGGGGCCTTGGCATTTGGTCCTACGGCAACTCGACTATTACCTCCCAACCCCCTGAATGAGCAAGAACTCAAGTCCGCTACAACAAAAGAAACTTTATTTAAAAATATTTTTTTACAGACATGGGTGCTTGAAAAAGCTCTTTAGTTAACTGTGTATGGAAATGAAAAAAATTAATAAATAACATTAGTATAACAGACTTCTAAACATTAATACACTGGCAAAATAAAATGGACTTAAAATGAAAATGAATCTTAAAGCTCTGCTATTCTCTGTAAGAATATTTACCTTCTGTTTTTCTTATTCTTTACAGGTGAGAATGATTAAATACTGCTAATATAAATTTTTTTATATTAATGACACATTTTTAAAATAGTCCACGAAAATCTTATCTATGTGTTTGTTTTCTTCTTAACACTGATATACAAATTGGGACTCTTCATTCTGGAGAAAGCATCAGGTTCTCTCCAGCACCCCCAGGCTAAGAATTTCAAAATCTTGAATAAGGAGGACTTTAAAATTTCTATCTCCCAATTTTTATTAGTTAAAGGCAAGGGAAAACTGAGGAAAGGGTAAGAGATAAGTAAAATGTCATTATATAGAAAAACTTCTGCTAAAGCTCACTGTAGTCACATTACTGAGGACAGGCTTCTGGTCCGTGTTCCTTGCTGCCCTTCCCTGGGGAAACCAGGCCCTGCAGAGGGCACTAGCTGCTTAATGCTTTAAGTCTGAAGCCTTCAAATGAAAGGCCAGCCACATCTGATGGGGGCGGGGGTGGGGACAGGAGGTCTAGACCAGTTCAGGATCCAGCAAAAAGAAGACAAAACCACCAAGCCCCCTTCTCAGGAGAGTCCATCCTACACTCCTCCACACACTGGGGAACTAATGTCATCAGGAGGCTAGGACACTTGGAACGGTCCAGAGTTTACCTGGGAATTGTGGAACGTTCTGTCTCTTGCAGGAGACAAGGCATGCAACCTGATAACTAAGCTTGTGACTGGAACCAACCGAATGATCCCAGGGTACAATGCTGCTCTCCTCCACTGAAGTCTCACAGCAGGGGAAAGGGACTCCGGACACACTGCACCTGCCTGTCACCTCTCCAGTCACAGAGAGCATTCTTTCCTGTCTCCTAGACACTAAGGACTAATGAAACTCAAGGTAGAGGAGCTCAGACTCTGGTATTTCCATATTAAGTCCTAAAATGCAGCCTGGGATACAGTGCTGCCTTAGAAAGGCACAAAACATTTGGCTTTTTTTTTTTTTTTTTTTCAGTGTGCTAAAAATTGTTTTGTTTTGAGTAAAGGAAAAAGATATATAAGGTTAAAAATCCCAAGTCACCACAGCCAGAAAACAGATGTAGGAGGTGCCTCATAGCTGCCATGCCACTACCACATGTTTCAGCAGGAAGTTAGGCTTTTCTTTCAAGGCCAAGACACTAGAACAGTGCTGAGCAGGGTAGGTCAGGAGGCATTTACTCTCGTGGGCATTGCGTTGCAGGCTCACTCACCCAGACAGCAGGAGAAAAGAGGCCATGGAAGACAACACGTGGTCTACAGACTCCTAAGTAGTTCTCCGCCTCTCCAGTTTTAAGACGGCCATAAGCATGGCTACCCTCACCCACAACAAGGTCAGAGGTAGGTAGAGAGGAGGGAGCTGACACACAGGCACCCAGGACACCCTGCTTCAGGGCTCAGCATGGAGGTGGCGCAAGGCCTGAGGAGTTGCACGTAGCACGCATTGAGCAATACTCCTCTCTGGCCGCCTGTCTGATTTGAGGGTAGAAGGAGAATGTAGGAGAGGCAATGTGGGGGGGAGGGAGGGGCCTGACATTCATTTTTGGAACTGAATCAGGCAATCAGGACTCTGCTGATTTCTTCAGCTGCCAAATCAGGAGATCTGAGGTTGGCTTCTGGGCTTTGCTCTATACAAACACAGGCAGTGGTCGGCTGCATTTTTCTCAAGCTCTGTACCCAGGAAGGGGCGGCAAGAGCGCCACACAGCTTAGTCTATCTGTCAACAGCCAGCCCTTCCACCTGTGCTCCCCACCTGACTCACCACGGACGTGCAGGGCTTGCTCTCCCCATCCCTACTTCCCCATCTCTTACTCTTTTGCTACTTTTCAGAACCAAGAAACACTGGTATTTCCCACGGGAACCAACTCAGATTTCCTGGGACACGGTGAAGGCACATGGCACTGCTGTCCCTCTGCTGCTTAACCCAGGAGCCTAGACTGCAACATCAAATGCAAAGTCTGATGACCCATCCTTCCTCCCTTGATGGACATCTTTGGATTATCAGGTAACTTCTGGGTGTATCAAATGACTCTAGTAGTTTAATAAACCTTTAAGTAAGGCAGTATGAAATACCTTACAACTCAGGACAAAAGATTCAGGCAAGCAAAAGCATAGTTAAACAAAAAAAAAAGAAAAGGAAAGCTTTTATATAGGACTAAAATGAAAGCAATTGCCAGAGAAGACACAGGTATACTGTCTAAAGAGCTCTCAGTAAAAACTCTATCCTAAATTGGAATCTATATTTAATTTCTATCCTGGCAACTGCTCCATTATTATATATTCTTACTGGCTCTGGCAAAGTAGTTTCTGAGGTGCCTAGGAAGGCCTGCCTGAGAACATTACTGCAGAGCGGCCCTCACACAGGAAGGAGGAGAGGGTAAGGAGGAGAGTGGAGGAGACAGGCCGCAAGCCCAGAGAATGAACATTTCCAAGCACTCAAACCTGAAGAGGACCCAGAAGTCCATGGATAGTGGCTACAGTGGCACCCGTTATTAGATTCTGCTTTCTAAGTAACACGGAAGAAGGCAAAAGACCTGAGGCTGAATGGAGGCTAAGGAAGGCCACCCAGGAACAGGCTAGCTTTGGAACAGGACAGGCTGGCCCACAAGAGGGAGGTAAGAAATCTTGGATGCCAAGACTGACAAAGGGAAGAAAAACAGGAAATAAAGATGACAATGACCAGAATTAAGTTAAACCTAAGAATTTCTATGATGTCCCAGAAAAACTCCCATGCCTTCCTTTCCACTAGCAAAAAGGCGGGAGTAGAGGCTTTACTCCTTGAGTAGAAGCCTTTTTAGGGCATCTGCGGAGTCTCTGCTCACTTCTCTGAGAAGCTCCCTGTCTCCAGCTGAAGGAGGCTGCCACATCTCTGCTCTCCCTGGCAAGGCCAACTGCTCAAGGATACTTGATTAATGTGCCAGGCTGAGTGTAGTTTTTCTTAAGGATATGAAGTATGGGCCGAGAGCGGTGGTTCACGCCTGTAATCTCAGCACTCTGGGAGGCCGAGGCGGGTGGATCACGAGGTCAGGAGTTCAAGACCAGCCCAGTCAAGATGGTGAAACCCCATCTCTACTAAAAATATGCAAATTAGCCAGGCATGGTGGCAGGCACCTGTAATCCCAGCTACTCGGGAGGTTGAGGCAGAGAACTGCTTGAACTTGGGAGGTGGAGGAGGTTGCAGTGAGTTGAGACTGCACCACTGCACTCCAGCCTAGGTGACACAGCAAGACTCCTTCTCAAAAAAAAGAAAAAAAAATAGTAGTATGGGAAATTGAGAATTTGTTCATGGTGATCCGCAGAGTTGGAAGGTGGTGTGGACTTGAGGACTGGAGTGCCTATTTGGGGGTCACGCATACCAAACCAGACAGGGAAGCGGGAGAAAGGACTAGGTGCAAAGCTCTGCAGTTCCAGCTCCACCCGAGAACCAAAGGCACTTCCCATCCTGGGTTCTGCGAAATACCCTGCATCCTTACCATGAGTCCCTCCTTTCTTCCGCTTGAACATTTCTGTTTCTTGTATCCAAAGGATCCCTAAGCAGTCAAAAATACAACCTTGACCGTCCTTCACTATCCACCACCCTCTAGGCATTAAGCAGTTCTACGTATTTCTAACAAAAGACTGCTCATGGAGACTGAGTTCAAGAGAGTGACAGTAATAGTTTATGCTGAGTTAGAGTACTTTAGATTGAGCTTCTAAAGCTCTAAGGTCTGGCAGAATGATGTGTGGACACTAAGCTTTAGAATCCCTAAATTCCTTGCTCTGAGAGGGAGGTAAAGGCTGACAATTAGGGGACTGATGGAGTTCAATCTGTATAATGTCTGGCTCTTGGAAGACCAAACAACTGACTCAAGGATCTTTGGATCCTGAGACCCAAAGATAGCGCCCACACCTCCAGCCCTTCTAAAACATAGAGTTAGCTGCAAAGGTTGTTGAAAGACTGGAAAACCAATTCCAAATAGTACAGGACATGGTGACAGGTCCCAGAAGGGTGATATGAAAATCCTCCCAACCAGGGAGATTAGGGACATAGCAGCTCAGGAAAAAGTTCAAGGAAGGCACTAGATTGGAAAGGGCAGTGCGGACAGATGCTTTGCTTAAACATTTAACGCCCTACTGTGCAACTCTGAGCCAACTTACCTTTCAACTTGCCAAACAGATTCTAATTATGTTGGAACAAATTCCAACATAAAAACAGTCGCTATCCATGAGACTTACATCAAGGAATTTCCCAGGCATTATCAAAGCTATAGGAGACAACAGGGGATAATGGGAGAATCTTGCCCTGCTATTAATCAGGACAGCTCTATAAGGAAAGGTAAGTCTACATGAAAGAGCTGTGAATAAAAATTGCACAATCTTACTGGGAAGAGCTATTTTAAGGTCAAATGCAGAGGCTATGACA